GCCTTGGAACTGTGATTGTAGATTTCGGCGAAAAGGCCATCAGCACACCGCTCTGCGACCTCGATGAATCCTTGCTGAGCCTTCGTTTGTCATGTGACAGACATCGTCACAATTGGACACCATTTTTCACCAAGCAGAAGGACAAGAAAGGTGGCCGGCTGCAATCCTACCTACATTTTATAGCCTAGCTAAGTCCAGTTAGTGAGAGATCTTAGGATTTTTTGGAGAACCTTTGTTATTTCTACATGCCGTTGAAAAGCGATGGCTGTTTTTCATACGCAAACCTCACGCGTCTCACAAGCATTACATGCACAAAGCACACGGGCAATAGAGCGCAATCACATGTTGCACAATTGCAGAATCAAACAAAAAAAGATAAGTGTTTTAGGGGGGGTGTAGCTATTCTTTCACAATTACATTTCATTCTGCATTTGCAGCCATTTAACATACCATCCATAGCCTTTATCTTTTCAACAATAAGTAGGAAAAGCAGAGGATTTCCAACCAAATAATGAGATGTTTCCCTAATTGGATGTAGGTAAGTTATAAAAAGTAGGCAGGATTGCATCCGGCCACTCTTCTTGTCTTTGCGATTTGGGAATTATCGTAAAGCATGGTGTACGGCTATAACATTATCAGTAACATGAAGGATGAGGGCTCAGCAAGTCTTTATTGGGGTCGTTAGGCCGTACTCATAGGACCTATTCGAAAAAATCTACAATCACAGCTCTAAGGCAACCCCCACAGCTTCCTGTGAGTCCAATTTAGGAATCCCTTACACTCGCCTCTTCAAACGAAATTAAAGGTACTCCAGCATAATTTTATTTTATAGATATGAAGACCAAATTGGTGTAACTTTTGATATGTTCGCAGTCTTTTTTCGCTGTATAGAAGTAGGTTGACCTCGTTTTGGCAACTTGGTCTTGTTGCCAGGGTGACTTGTGTGGACACACTTTGTCTGGAGTCCTTTGCTATAGTGGTTGTCACAATTCCCAGCGTTAGACCGTAGAGTTAGTAAATTCTCAGACATTTCGTCGGCATCGTCAGTGAGTTGGCGAGTTTTAGCTTGATGCTAAGAATAACTAGACCTACTGAATAGAGGTTGTTTGACCTTGTTTTCGCAACTTGGTCATATTGGTAGGAAGACGTAGAGAAACGCACCTAGTCCGGAGTCCATTTTATGAATGATTATTTCCAAAGTCGGACCGTGGACGTGGTGCATTCCCAGACGTCGATGAGGTGAACTTGGCTAAATGACATTTTGTGACATTTTGACCAAACGTGTGCTAATCAGTTGTGGCATACAATGGACTCCGGACTAGGTGTGTTCCTCTAAGTCTTCCTACCAATATGACTAAGTTGCGAATACAAGGTCAAACAACCTCTGCACAACGAAAGGAGTCTGCGACCACACAAAAGGCCATACAATATTGGTCTTAATACCTTAGACTTACTGAAGTTACCGACTTGGATGCCGGCAAAACATCTGGGAAAGTAGCATGTTTACGTTCCGACGCTGGGAATTAAGATAACCACTGTAGAAAACGGCTTCGAACAAGATGTGCCCAACTAAGCAGCCCTAAAAACATGATCAAATTGCATAAACGTTGCCTACTCACTTGTATAACTGTTTTTTCCAGCTCCAAAATACCATGAGCAATATTGACCATCTGAATATGAAAAATTATTTTGGTTATGTTGTGACGTAGAATTTGATGATTTATAGATTAATCTTTAAACGAAATGAAGGGTACTCTCCAATATCAATCTCTTAAGAGATTCTTCTAAATCTTGTTTTTCAACAATTTTCGGTAATAGAAGTGGGTTGACCTCGTTGTCGCAACTTAGTCTTGTTTTCAGGGAGACCATGTAGAACGCACCTAG